GGGTGAGTTAAGCTTTAATGAAGTGCCTGTCAGCAGTTAAACGTTCAGCAGGAAGTCAATATCACTGTTAATGGGGTTTAAACTGTTTTTGCTTTTATAGTTTTAGACTTGGCTGCATATTTCCCAAAAACAACTTCTTCTGGTATTGCAAACATGGATCCTCTTGTGTTGTTCATCAGTGTGGAGTCTCCCAGGTTAGGCTTAAAGCAAAAGTAAGCTCTAATTTATCACGCTTCCCATTGTGTTTTCAACAAATCACCCTGGACAAGACATTGACTTTGAGGGAGTCAGTATGTTTTGACGGGCTGCACAGTGGTGAGGCGGTTAGCACTGGTGCCTCAGAGTGAGAAGGTTTGGGGTTTGAATCCACCATCGTTTGCATGTTCTCCCTTTGAATGCGTGAATTCTCTCAAAGTACTGCCTTCCTGCCACAGTCCAAAGACATAGACAGGTGTGAATGTGAGTGTGAATGGTTGTCTCTGTGTTAGCTCTGCAGCAGATTGGCCATCTGTCCAGGGTATACCCCGCCTCTCGCAGCTGGGATAGGCTAAAGCCCCCCTGTGACCCTGAATTGGCTAAGCAGAAGAGAATGGATGGTTAAACAAAATGCTTTGATTTTGTGTTTCTGCCCTGACAGGCATCTCTGCACAGCTCAATGGACTCTTTAAAAGCTGAGCTCAACATAGCGCTGCAGTGTGACAGAGAAGCTGAAGATGAGGTCAAGAAGCTGAAGGTGAGAGGAAACACATCGGAATCAAAACCTCGCCACTGCGCATGCTACAATCACTATAAATATCCAGACTGACCCACTCGACCCACAGTTTCCTGTCTCATTCCCCTCATGGATTTCTAATGCTTTTGTGTATGTGCGCACAGACTGTTGTGCTTTTTGAAATAGACCGTCGCTCCCAGTAACAATGTGCATCTCCCACTCAGGAGCACACCGCTGATCTGAAGCAGCGCATCGAAGCCCAGTTCAGCGACCTGCACCAGTTCCTCTACCAGGAGGAGAAACTGCTGCAGGTGAAGCTGAAGACGGAGGAGCGAAGAGAGCTGATTCGCCTGGACGAGCACAAGGCTCTGCTGTGCGTGGAGATCTCGCGTCTGCAGAGGGCCGTCCATGAGATAGAGGACAAACTAAAAGAGCAGGACCCATTCACTCTGCTCCGGGTACGCTTAGCCTGTTTGTACATACAGCACAGTTCATCTGGAAGTTATTACCAGGATGATGAGTCAGCTCTGGGGATGATTAAGCCAAAAAATGCTGAACTCTTGATTTTAAATACGTTTTCAAAACATTTGTATCACTGTTTTAAAAGAAATGGAATCAGAAGCATAATATTTGGGAAGAAAATGAGGTGTTTTTCAATCTATTATGTAGCATACATACATTTTTGTGCCAACAGGTTAAACAGGGTCCAACGTCAACATTCAAGATATAACTGAGCTGGGTGTGACCGCTTTGGCTTTCCTGTTAAGTCTGCAGAGTGGTCTTAGCAAGACGGTCGATTTGATTACATCATTATGAAAAAACTTCAAGGGTAAAGCGTGATAAATAACAACAACACTGTTGTAGTTTTTTGCCCAAACAAATATTTATGAGCTTAGACAGGATTCATGCCAACGGCCTCAGTCGCTGAGCTCTAGAAAAATGAGTTCAGTTCAGGCACCGGGCCATACTCAGGCCAAGGCAGTGGGAATTTCCCCCGGCCACAGGGAGATCCCGCAGGGTGGGATAATGTGAGGTCAGACACTGATGTAATGTGGAAAAAGCTCTCTCTTCTTTCAAATACAGCAAAACTAATTACAGTCTTTTTGTCTCTTTTCCTGTGTTTATTCCCGTGTCTCATTTCAGAGCATCAAAGCACTTCTCCAGAGGTGAGCGTGGGAAAGAGGCCGAATATTTTGTCCTTGAAAGGCTCTGTTTTTGTTCTTTGGTTTCATTGTTTGACTTTGCTTTCGTTGACAGGCCTCCACTTAAGTTTGAGAAACCCGTGTTTACACCGCCCAGTCTGTGTGAGGGCCGGTTTGCAGGGCCCCTACAGTACAGAGTGTGGAAATCTATGAAAGGAAGCATCTATCCAGGTACTTAAAAGTGACACTCAGACTCCTGAATCGCTGCACTGCTCAGAAACCATCATCAAAATATCCAGCAAAGAAACATTTTTAGCCTTAAACTTCCTCTCTTGCCTTTGCTTTCTCCTCTTTTTAGTTCCAGCTTCCATTACATTTAACTCCAGCACAGCCAACCCCTGGCTCAGTCTGACTTCCTCCCTCACCTGCGTTCGATACCAGAACTTTAACCACACTGTCGAGGACAATCCCAACAGGTTTAATGCCGCCCTGTCACTGCTGGGTAGCCAGGGCTTCACCCACGGGCGCCACTACTGGGAGATTGAGGTCTACAGCAGCACAGTCTGGACTGTGGGGGTAGCCCGGGAGTCGGTACCCAGAAAGGGAGTCATCAAAGCCCTTCCAGCTAACGGCTTCTGGACTATCTCTCTCTCTTATGGGATTCAGTACATGGCGGGTACGTCCCCTCCAACTGTCCTGTCACTGGAGGAGCCACTGGCCAGGATCGGTGTGTACGTGGACTACAAGAGGGGCCTGGTGTCCTTCTACAACGCAGAGAGCATGACACACCTGTACACCTTCAGGGAGACCTTCACTGAAACACTGTATCCTTATTTCAACTTGGGCTTCCTGGACAAAGTGCATGAAAATGAGCCTCTCAAAGTTTTCTTGCCAAAGATTTAACTGCTGTGAAAAAAAAAGAAGACAAAGGGTCAAACAGTTACCGAAAATGACTAGATATGCAAAAAAACACATGTGAATAAAAAAGGTTCCTACTGTACAGATTTGAAACTGTGCAAATGCACTGTGCAGTTTATCTCATCAGAAATCAGAAACACGTGTATCTAAGCTTTGCTGAGTTTGCAGACTATGAATCTACTGTCAACCATTTCATTTCAGAGAAGCTGTGCTTCGGTGAAGAATGTGAAACTGTCTGGTTATCTGACTGTAGTGACATTATTGTAATGTGCTGTTATGTAATCTTCTTTATGCATGATTCATTAATTCATTCAGTACTTTGTTTTTTACTCTGTAAATAACTGACATCCTGAATTATACTGGAGTCACAAGACTTGATGATGTGATGCATTCAAGGACCATGGAGAAACTTTTTATTTCATCATAGCAAACATTAGGTTCGCACATACTTAAATAAAAATCTATTTAAATCGCCTTTTTGTATGTGTGCACATTTTTGTAACTGAGAAATCTTTGCACATATTGATCAAAAGCCTGCTACAGTAAATGTGTGGTACCAAAGACGTAAAAAGATGTCCGTAATTATATGCACAAGTGTGTTATTTCCAGTATTAAAATGAACAGAACACCTCCATGATCAAACTCCTTAATTCTGCTTTCTATGACTACCTTATGGTACCCTTAAGAGTTCATTAATTAATTTATTCAACCACTTGCAGCGCTATGAATAAATGTTTTACACTAGGGGGTCACAAGCAAAGAACTGAAATGAACACGTTTGCAGCCTGGAACAAAAAACTGTCCCTTTAATGATGATTGATTGTGCAGGGGGGACAAAATGAAAATAAATAAATAAACAAATAACTAAAACATGGCCATTGTCACTGCCAGGTTACCCATTTGCTTTAGGCTTCATTTTGAAACCATAATGTTAGTGTTATGTTAATGGCCATGTTGCTGTTTTGGAGCAAGAATGTCATATTTGGATTAGTAGGTGGATGCTTGGTTAACAAACTGGATTCATAGATTGTACATGTGCAATCCACACATATATTTGCTAATTAGTTCTAAGTAATTTCAGCACTTCTTGGGTGGCCTGAACCACACATCGAGGCATGCTAGTTCTATTTGTAACAGGTTCCAACAGTAATAACACAGCAGCTAGAGGTTCCCTAACTCCAGTATCCAGATAGATGAGTTAGCTATAAAAAAAGATTCACCCACCTGCAGTGATGCTGAAGGGGGAAACCGTGCACAGAGGCCAAAACCAATTTGGCCTCTGTGCTGTAAACATGATTCTTGCTTTTGGATGCAGCTTCAAGTGGCTGGTCGAAGAACTGCAGTGTCTTGCTCTTTCAAGTAGGTTTAATTTTATGTGACTGTGTGTCTCCGCAATACACTCAGTTCACCCAATTAGCGAGATTAGATCTGGCTCAGAAAACAAAAGGGGGGCGTTAAGTCCCAAATAATCAGAGCAAAGCAGAGAAAGATTGTAGCCAAGAGAAAAATATGTGAAATCGATTTTGATTTAAAAGATGTCAGGCATGGCACAGGTGTGCAGAGGGTTTTTTGTATTAAACTACAAACAAAGCTGGATGCTACTTGTGAAAACATCTTTGCAGTCATAGATGGGAAACCATGAAAAGGCTCATCAAGGTGCAGACGTACACACATCTCTCAGTAATTTGAAATTGGGAAAGAAAGTTAGTTGGTTGATTCACCATCAGCTTTCATAAACGGAACTTTGTTCACAACAAAAATCAAACATTTGTCCAAGACATTAGCGTCCTCTCCGCACGCTCAGCATCAGTGATGATGCAGCTGTAACCACACGCAGCAGGTGATAATTTGCATGCATTTATGCCAAGTTCAGCAAAGGAAAAACTTCCCGATTAGCAAGTAGTCCAGGAGTTTAAGGAATCGTTTTTGATCGGGTGAAGAAAAACTTAACTGCTGTGAAGCAACAACAAGAAGCTGTAGAGGATGGCTGACATACAAACTCAAAAACGAAACTAATTTAAAGCAAAGCCAGATAAGAATATAATCTTAAATAAGAGATTAGGTATGATTCAAGAATACAGTTTTGCTGATTTCCATACATATTAAGTTAATTTATCAAGTAATATAATACATGAAACTGCACTACATCCAACAGAAGTGATGAAGGTTTCAACCTCAGAGAGAAAAAAGTGACACAGTGGAAATTATGATTAAAATAAAAAGGCAAACTATTATCACAATATATACATTTTACATTTTAAAACAGCGCTCCAATCAGCTCATTACAAGTGGTGCGATTGTATATTTATATATGAAATCATTCAAACTGTTACGGTACAGGGCTATATGATGATGAAGAGTGAAGATGTAATGTCTCTGCATGGCTTCAGTCTGTCTAACAGAAGTCAATGTAAAGCGTTTGGGCTGTTGTTTGTGGTATCAACCCGTGCATTCACTCCTCGCCAGGAAATGGGTGTGACCAACCAAATGCTAGGGGTGAAGTCTCCATTTAGGTTTGGGGAAGGTTTGGAAAGTCACTTGCTTACGTGTAATGTGTCCTGGAACTTTGTGCTTATGTAGCGTACATGAAAGCCTTTTTTATTGATGCTGTCATCCGAGTGAAATTTTAGAACAATGGAGTCTCCAGCTGAGTACACGTCCTCTGGGGCCTGAGGAAAAGCAACCGATACAGACAAGTAAATAAACAAATAAATAACAAATAGAAATTAGTGAGCGAGACTGATTTTATTCAGCCCTACCCCAGATCCGCAGTATCGTCCCAGCCTGGGAGACTTGGTGTCAGCGCCGTCATATAGCTCCACATAATCGTACCCGCAGTCAGCCTCCTCTTCAATTTCAAACACTTGGAAGATGATCTCGACACCGTAACCCTTCTCAGCAGTTACCACCCACAAACAGTCAGAGCCTCCAGGGTAGTTGTTATCTCCAAACTGGGCATGGGAGTACAGATCTTTTGTCTTGACCTCTGCTTTAAAGCTTCCTCCACATTCTGAGAATCCACAACCACAAAATTAGAGGGTCAAAAAGAGGAACTCATAAAAGTTAGGAAGGAATGCAGCTGAATTGTGACATTTTTGAGCTTTTATTCTGTCTTCAAAACACCATTTTACTCTATTTTTGCTTGGGGTTTTTTTCTTCTTTTTCAGCAGAGCAGTATTTTATAGTCTGTTTACTACAGTGGCCCTGAGATGCAAAACAACTTAAGAAAACACAGACAAACAGAAAACACTGTAAAAGCAATCAAAACACAAAATAAGTTGAAGAAAATCTTACAAAACATAAGGTGATTTGAATAAAATACAAAGGAAACTGAACAAAGCAAAATAGAAGCTGAATAAAACACAATAGAAGTTGACTAGAACACAAAGACAACTGAAAAAAACAAAAATCTCTCAAAACACAATGGAAGTTGGAAATGGAAACTGAATCCAACACAAAGGATTCAAAGATTCAAGTGTTTTTGAGGAGACATTAACAGCTGTGGAGCTGATGGAGACCAAAACATGGGAAGGCTTTCACTGAGACGTGTTCAAAGGATTCATGGAGTGTTATGATTCATATAACACCGTACACACATGTTTGCTGTTAGCAAAGCAACTGTTAGCTTGTCACTTCTGCAGCTGTTCACTCACATTGGTGTTTTTCCAAAAACGCGTTTGTGTTTGTTATCGTGTTTTTTCTGTTGTCCTTTATTTAACCTTTGTTGTGTTTTGAGTGCTTTTGTAGCATTTTTCTATTTGCTTTTTGTGTTTTCTTATGTTGCAGAAGGTTTGACCTCTCAGGGCCACTGTAGTTTGCTCACCTGCTCTGTACGAAGCCTCAAACCCTCTCTTCTGCACAGAGTTGTCGGAGAAGAAACGCAGGAACATTTTGTTGGCGCTGGAGATGACCGGAGAGGGCTTTTTGGTGCCACAAAACCGTCCCAGAGTCGCGGCGCGATTGTCTCTTCCGTCATAAATCTCCAGATGATCATAAGCGCACTCCAGATGAGCCTCCATGTCGACCTCATTAAAAATCTGGAAATTGTTTCGAGTTAAACTTAAAACGATATAAATGGTTTTGAACAGTTTTAATTTTGGCATCGTGACATACGAGTTTGATTCGATGGCCCGGGGTTGTAGAAAGAGACCAGGTGCAAGCCTTCTTGCTGGGATATTTGTCAGGCCAGTTGGGGCTGGCGATGGTGCCGGACACACTGTTTATCACATGATCACATCCCGCTGTAAAAAAACCAAACAAAAACAAAGCAGGATGCAAAACAATGACAGCTGCACATCATTTCCTTTTCTCCAGCACAAGCATCCTCTGAGGTCATGCTGTGGAAAACAGGCCGAACATATTAACTGTCAAAAATGAAAGCAAAACTAAAGCTGCCCTTAAGCAATCCTACTTTCCCACTCAGGCTATTAATAAATAGTCCTAAGGTCAAACTTTTGTCTGTAAATATGCAGCAGCTGGTAAAGGGTGTGTTCCCTCTAGGAGACTACTTCATCTTTAGATAGTAAGTGAATCACAAACGATAGCTTCATGTGTCCACTAGAGAAAAGTAAGGATATATAAGGCCATACATCACACTGATGAGTGAACAGTGGACATACTGCACCTTCCTTGCAGTCATGCCTGTTGTCGTGCAGCATGAAGCCCCTGCGACACTGACAGCTGTAGCTCCCGAAGGTGTTTACACATTCATGCTGGCAGCCTCCATTACCTTTGGAGCACTCATCTATATCTGCGGACATAGAATAGAGTAGAATAGAATACAATAGAAACTTTATTGTCACTAGCAACAAATTCCAGTGACAAACAGTAACATTGAGATATTGTAGAAGTAATTTGTAATTTTGCTTTTTATTTTGACACTACTACACATAGTATATATCATTTATAAGGATTTGACTGATGTAAAAATAATTCCCAAAAGTTATATAGAGCTTGCTGATCCTGGTACTCTAGGCAGTTTACATAATACATTTCAGAATAATCTGAAATAATCAGAATAGAATTTTTCCCACACTCTAATGTGTGAAAGCAGGCATCAGAACTTATTGGGTCAGACTGAGATTAAGCCTTTCCTCAAGAAGGAAATGTCTGCTACATTAGGCACAGGATTTTAGGATTACATGGCTGCTAGAAATCATACATTGTCGTACTGTACAGAGTTTAAACGTGCTTTTTAGTGTTGCTGAGGAAAAGTAAATAACTTCAGGTAGCTGTTTATCTGATGATATTGCATAAAAACATCTGATCATTAGCCAGACTTTAAAAGGGGAACTATTATGATCATTTTCAGTTCCATATTCTGGAAAATCTTTAGATTTTGATTGTATTATGATTTAAGCCGTACAGTCCAATGGTGAGTAAATGCACCAAATGTTTTTTTCTGATGTGCACAAACTTGTCTGTGTTCTGAATCACAATAAAGTAGCTATTCTATTCTGTTCTATTGAAATTTTGTGCTTTGATTTTATTGTTATATTATTTGACTAGCTTGATTAAAGGGGCAAAAATAAAGAACTGTAAAAGAAGAGAAAATCCTCAGATTTTGATGTGAATAATAAAAATACACAAGAGGAAGAATGTGTTTACACACGAAGACTAAGCATTCTGGGTAAGGTTGTGTAAGATTATATCTCTGTGATACATTATATCTCATTGTGAAGTCAGCGGACTGCATCTTTCTGGTTTTGCCGTTTTCCCTGCACCATACTGTTATTGTCACGGTCCAGAAGATCCGCCTGAGAAATTCTGTGTTGTTTTCTCTTTTTTCTCTCTCCCTCTGTCGCCTGGGCGGAGTTCATTGTGGGCTCCCGCCTTTGGCCTACATACCTGCGAGATGAACACCTGCGTCTCATTAACTGGCCTCTACTAAAGGGAAGAAGCAAGACTGCTCTTCGCTGGCTCGATGCTTGACCTGTGTTAGTGAAATCCTGGCTAGGACACTGCAGTCTAGTTCCTGTGGTTTTGCTTCTTGCATTAACGCATTGTTTCCTGTGTACAGACACCGTGGACCTGCCCTTGTTGCCTACAGAGATTCTGGTGCGAGAGAGGAGTGAGAGACTGGTGAGACACCAAGAGAGACTGAAGAGGAGTGAGAGTGTTCCCCTGCTTTTCCCTGTGGATTCCCTGGAGCCCCGATCCCCGCACCCTTGTATATAGCACTTTGTCACTGTTGCACATTTCACCTGGTGTTTGTGAATAAACCCTCTGTTCTTCCTTTGAGCCAAGGAGTCCTGTGTTTGAGTCCCTCCATAACAGATACATTTACTCTGCAGTTCCTTCTATGCTTCCTAAATCATCAGTCAACTCACCAGAGAAGAAATGAGCCTTGAAGCCTCTCTTGGAGACGGTGCTATCAGACTTAAACTCAATTCTCATGTTGTTCTGCTGGGAGGTGATGACCTCTGGTTTCTCTGCTCCACAGAATTTGCCGTGAAGCTTCGAGTCTGAGCTCAACCCACTGCGCACTTCCACAAAGTCATATTTACACACCTGATGGGAAACACACAGAAATGATCCCTGTTAATAAATGTATTGATGTGCGTCATTCACTTGATGTATTTTTTACACATATATTTTAGCACGAGAGATTTTTATCAGGTATTTATTCCTGCTGAATGCTCTTTAACCATGTGTACAAGCACTTTCCTAGCAAATCACAAAAACCCCCACTAACATCATTCCCTTCGGTTTCAAACACATCAAACACCAGGGTGATGCGATACTGAATGGGTGCCACTAGCTGCCAGACACAGTTCTTGTTGGGTGGGTATTCTTTGGGCCAGCCGGGGGTGATGATGGAGCCATTCAGCATGGTGATGAATCCACCACAGGCAGCTGCTGGTGGGGCAAAAACACAGATTTAAGTGGTAAAAGTAAAAAAAACAAAAAACAAAACCCCAAATCCCAGAAACAACAAAAGAAAACAAAAAAATTTTTTGAAACTGAATGTTATTTTAAAAATAATCGAAATAATTACACTGATGGATTTGAAATTGTGGTACTGGAAATAGAAAAAGACATCCTTAAATTTAACACCATTAGTTAGATTATTTGTTATTATTAAAAAATGAGAGTAAACGTCAGCTCCTACTGCTATTTGTGTCTGCAAACACTTTTAAAACGATGAATCAAAATCTAAGTTCTTAGTGAAGATACAACAGGGGAGCGCTGCCCTCATGTGGTAGAAACAGGAAGCTTCCTTGGAATCAAGACTCAACAAGGTAAAAATCTCATTCTAGTAACACCTGCCAGTCCCAAATACTCAGGATTATTATCAGAAATCATATATATGGCCTATATAACTTTAGGTTTACATCTATCTATTTATAGCACAGGGGAAAAGATGTGGGATTTAACTGTAGGCATAATAGAGCTGACAGCTTAGGCACACTACCGTAAAATTAAGCATGACATCGCAGAAATTCTAAACTACAGAAATTACAAACAGATTTGTCAGCTGCACAATAACAATGTGAATCTGCTGTTTCACCACATCTGAAAGGTGGTGTATTGGACCGGTCACTGTGAAGGCCATTTGAGTACAGTGAAGTCACTGTCCTGGCCAAGAAGCCGGTCTGAGATCATCTGAGCTTTGTGACATTATACTGTTGGAAGCAGTCATCACACACTGGACTCATTCGTTAACCAGAAACCGTTTTACGAGGTGGTTTAAATATCTTTTATTTTGAAAATCTGAACCCTTACCTAAACTCAACTTTATTATGTGTCTTGATTCTCCCTCTAAAGTCAGTACCTGCAGGGATTATGGAATTATTATTGTGCACATGTGTGTTTCCCATAGTGAGTGGGGCCTCTCTAAACATTAGTATCCAAGAAAAAATAACATGAAGTAGCCTCATAAATAATGAATTTCTCAAATAAACTTTTAGAATTATTATTATCATGCTGTGGCACTTTAGGTTTTACAAAATACAAAAAGGTCTCTGCTGCTGAGCTCTTTAAAGGGCCACTTTATCCAAAAGACCAGAGCTACATATACAAGAGATGCTGTCAGGCTTCAAATTTATGCATCGTTCCCCTCCAAAGCTAACGACCCAGTGTTTTAACCCCTAAGACACCTCATCAACCTCATCAGTGCAGGTTGGAGTTTCCATTTTTCTTTTCTGAATCATCAGTCACCATTTGTATTAATTTTTCACAGCAGTGAACTAGGGAAGCTATAGCCTAGTATATTTATATACATATTAATATACTACACTATAATAATAAATAAAGTATAGAATAGTGTAGTGTAAAATAAATAAATAGTGTTTAGTTTACAACATGAAACTTGCATGAAGTGTTTCCATGGTGACCTGCAGAGACATACAGCAACAACACTTCAGCAGAGTCACTGATGGAGGCAGAGGAATCTGCAAAGTTTTTGTTTTTTCTATAGTTTAAGGATTTAAAGAAGTTGGTGTATTTTAAAAGCTGAGAAACTGAGAGTCAAATCCCAGAAAATCGCTCGGAACAGTCCGACTGATAAGTTCAGCGTCACATTTCTTCCCAATTCTGATGCTCAAGTTTGAACTTCAGCAGATCATTTGACCATTTCTTCATGCCTAAATATACTGTCTTGTTGACATGTTTCGATGATTTGATATTTGGTTAATGAGCAGTTAAAGGTGTGCATAGTGAGTATATATCATGTAGAGGGAACATACTCGTCAGAGTGTACTTCATATCGTGAAGCAGTGGCATTCTGAAGTTGACAGTAATTTAATATGAGCAGTCAGGCAATAAACTCACTCTCACAGGTGTGTTTGTCAGCTGCCAGCTCATACCCCGGGTCACAAGCACATCTGTAGCTACCCAGTGTGTTCAGACAGCGCTGCTTGCAATTACCATTGTCAGGTCTGGAGCACTCATCCATCTCTAACAAAAGGAAATGGCAATTACTAGTTTTCTGTGCCAGACAAATGCATCAAACAGGTCTCACTGCCGCCAGATTGTTTGCTGCTAAAATGACCTTCTGACCTTTAAAAAAGTTGGCCGCAAACCCAGCTTTGTTGACCGATCCGTCAGATGCAAACTTAAGCCAGAGCTGGTTGGAGGTGCTTTTGATGTCGTCTGGTTTGTCGTACCCGCAGAAACGTCCGAGCAGCGGGCTGCTCTCTGAAGCGCCGTCTCTCACTTCCACGTAGTCGTAGGTACAACTGTCGTGTTTCTCAATCTGCACAGCGCGGACACAAAAGTCTGCTAATAGACATTACAGCAGAGGATTGTGAAGTCTGTCCAAAGCGTCATCCTCGCCATCCACAAACAATAAAAGTGAGATGGTTTTTTTCTGCTGACACTCTGTAGACTTTTCAAAGTTTAAAAAAGTTGCTATAGTACTATAGTATAGTAGGTAATTATTCAACAAGTTTAATAAAACAAGTTCATAGCAGCACATTAAAATCTTTGCAAATTAGCTAAGACGGTTTTAAATCTTTCCAGGTTGGCCATTCCTCTCTATATGCCAACTGCACCATTCACTGCAGGGACCACCTTTTAATTTTATTTGCTAGCACGTTGCCAGAATGCAGGAATAACAACAAAAGAGGTAATTTTACCTCAAATGACTGAAAGGAGAGGCCAACATTAAACCCCTCTGCCACTGTGATTTTCCACACACACTCTTTGTTGGACTGGTATTCATCAGGATAATTAGGCGACTGGATCTGGCCGCTCTCCCGCTTCACCTCTCCTCCACAGATGGCTGCACAGGAGGTGAGAAGTGACATAAGCACCAGTTGATTACAGTCACAGACTTGCTTTCATATGGCCAAATTCACATCTGTAACAAAAGGAGATGCATGGGAAAACTGAGCATTGTACCTTCATAAACAGCTGAAAATCCTTTGCCCACCCAGCTGCTGCTGCTCCTGAATTCAATCCACAGTCGGCTGTCGGTCGAGATAATCTGAGCTGGAAGTGTGTCTCCACAAAAGCGCCCTGCAAAAGTGCAAAAAAACCCCAAACTGTCATTTCTTCTCGGTAAGAACTTCACATTAGAGACGCAAGTAAAACAGACCTTTTAGAGGAGCCTTCCTCCAGAAGCCGTCCCGGACTTCGACATGGTCGTACCAGCACAAGTGACTCCTGAAGAGGTCCATGGACGTAAAATTGAGAACAATCTAAGATGCAGAGGAGACAGAAGGACACCAGGGTGTTAGCAAATGATCTGGCATCAAGATTCGACATCTGTGTCGTCCCAAAAGAGGTAAAAAAAGGTGGAAGGTGATACAAATTCATTTGGGTTGTGCTAGAAAAAATCTGCCAAATCAAAATGTGTAATCCGATTACTTTTTTCAGGTAACAAGTAAAGTAAAGGATTACTATTGCAAAAAGGTCATTAGATTACTGTTACTAAAGCACGCTGCATTACTGTGTTACTAAAACCGTGATTTTTTTTGCGAGAGTGTCTCATGACAATGATGTAAGTCAGTGTGACCTTCGTGGCAACAGCTGTGTGCAGATCAACAATGGATAATATATCGAGTGCGGGAGAGAGTATGAGCGTGTAGGGTTTAAAGCGTGGAAGTACTGACCTTACTTTGAGTTTGATTCCGTAAAAAGTGACAAAAACATTAGCGTCTGCTGCGCACTACATGGGAAGAAAACTTATTTTTAGAGCAAAAAACCCCTAAACTTTAGAGTAAGCACCGAGTGCGCTACGACGGGAATGTGAAACTCCCAGATCCTTCCACTGACCGCTACGACACACCTGCACCAGGGCAAACCTCCGCCTGTCCCACTCCTGCTTTACAAGTGAAAATAGAGCAACAGGACCACTGAGTCTTTGATTTTATTTATTTTCTGCTGTCTTATTTGTGCATCTATTTGAAAGACTGAGTGTAAACACAACAAACTTTTAATTTATGTGCTGGAATGTGCAGAAAATAGGTTTAAATGTTAAACAATTTTCTTCCAGTCAGAGAATGTTGCAAACACCAGCAATAAGAAAAACGCTGCAAAAGTACACAAAACACAACGAAAAATGACAACAGAAATAGGAAAAACGAAAACAGAAATGGAGAAAAACAGATTTCCAAAAGCACAAGGGAAGTGTTTCTGGGGAGACAATAACCCGACGGACCAGTTGCAGGAGCCCAAAACATGGTAGGCATATTTTATCATGATTCATTTAATACTGATGATGGATTTTCAGGCTAATAGTTAGGCTAACACACTTAACTCTCATCTTTTCCTTTCTCACAAAACCGATAGATCCTCCACTTCTTTTAAGTGTCTCTTAGCATATTTTGGTTGCAACTGGTCCGTCGGGTTATTGTCCCCCCTGAAACACTTCCCTTGTGCTTTTGGAAATCTGTTTCTTCCTGTTTCTGTTTTTGTTTTTCCTATTTCTGTTTCGTTTTTTCCTATTTCCGCTGTTGTTTTTCCTATTTCCGTTGTGTTTCGTGTGCTTTTGCAGCATTTTTCTTATTGCTGGTGTTTTCTTAAGTTGCAGTACGTTTGGCCTCTCAGGGCCACCGTAGTACGACTCATTGTGGTGACGCCTTGTGAATAAGAGCAACCAAAAGTAGCTATTATATGAATGAAATAACTAGACTGACTTAGCCATATTCACCTCTGCATCCATGTGGCTAAATTAGAAACACCAATCAGCCCAAACAAATGAGAAAAAAACAAAAACATATGACTTGGTCACTAATTTATTTGAGAAAATTCTTTCAATATTATACATCTGCGATTGGGAAACTTGTTAACTTAGCAGAAGAAGTAAAGATGATGGTTGCAGTCCATGTGCTGTGAATGCTTGCTAACTAATATGGAGCATTAATGCAACACTTAATGGACCTCATTTGAACTTTACTCAAGTCCTCCTTGCAGAACAGCTTCGACTGTAATGCGTGCGTTATAGTTTCTGCATCTGCTGAAGTTCAAGTGGCATGAATTTCTTCTTCAGATGGCGAGGCTCCGCGCAGATGTCTGCATGCCTGCCAAGTTTTCCCACGCTAAGTTTTTCCTTATGACTTGAGGAGTCACTTGAAGAAACTACATAACAATCCACTAACTACTCATGGGCTCTTATGCATAAATAAGCATAAATAAGAATGACTGCTCGTTTGTGGTATCTGCAGCTATCTGTGTCTGTATTCCCTGGAAAGATGTTAGTGGATTTCCTCACATTAACTGCTAACATCAGGGCTTTGAATTGGCAGTTTGAAAAATAAATTATGATTCTATGATGTGTTTAAGATCATTATCTTGTTGCACTACCACTTTATCTTTTGATTTAGCTCATGATCACTATGGATAAAGACTATAAATTCTTTAGGTGAGTAACCATGCTGATCATGCCCTTATGGAGCTAATGCATCCACATATTGAGTACCTTTTCTCCAGGAGTGACAGAAATCCTCCAGACACAGTGGGTGTATGCCGAGTATCCGTTAGGGAAACCAGGGGAAGAGAAGTTTCCAGAACTGTCCTGCAGACTTTCCCCACATTCTGTCACAATAGGAGATTATTTAAAATATATTTAACTAAGAACTGAAAACAAAGAGTTTATGTGAGGAAAGAAACATTGCAAAGCCTTGACTGATCATCTGATTGGTGTTCAGGTAAAAAAAAAACAAAAAAAAAAAACAGTTCACAAAGGACTTCATTTTAGGGAGAAATAATATCATTTTTAATCAATTTATTTAAACCAGTGATGATGATTAACTCTCAGTCATGAGTGCCTCACAAGCACAGAATTAGTAGAAATGATAAGTGAGTTCCATGTCTTGCTTCAAATAGTGTGTACAATGGGGATAAAAACATATAATCTCCTCTGATTTTTAACACATCTTGAATCTATGCAAGACGATTAGGGCCACTGATGAAAAAAGTGGACACACCTTTTTTTTTCTTTT